CTCCCAGTGAAATTTGGCAAATAAGGATAATACTGTTTTTTTTCATGAGGCTAAATTGTTTCAGTTTAAAGGAGTACCATTTATTCTGTGATTTTGGTTAAATATACTTTCACAAAATGATAGTTAATAGGAGAATGGTAGCTATTTTAAAAAATGTTCTCATTTGACAAAGTAAAAACACTGGGAGATGCTTTTTTTGTTTGTTTTTTTAGGACATGAAAACCCATAGAAACTACTAGTATAAGAGTGGCAAAGACTATTGCTGATTCCAAAATTACCAGTTGCAAAATAAAAACTGAGTATTTTCTGAAAGAAGTGTTTTGATCAACCGTATTAACCTTGGAAAATCTGGGGGCAACTCAATTCTTCCTACAGGCTGGAAATCCTCTCTTAAGACTCAGAATTAGACCCTGGTAGGCTACAGGCAATAGTTAGCACATTTTGGATATAAGCCCTGGCCCAGGCTGTTGAGAACCCCAGATCCAGCTGGGAATATACTTTTGACTAACTAATGCTGGGGCAGCAGAAAAAATGGCTCATATGTGCAATGCAGGATCGCCTACTGGGGGAAGATAAGAACTTTCTTGGGTAAAACACAAATTATTGCTGATTGAGTAATAACTGATGAAACAAACCACAACTTTGCAAGCTGAGTCCAGTTTCACATTGACCTAAGCTGGGAGGATGAGTTCTTTCCAGGTGACACTTCTATGGGTGGCCCATTGGCCTCAATAGTAAACAGAGATGAGGCTCTGAGCCTCATCTGTGGGGGAGAGTCTGCTGCATCTGATTGATTTCCCCTCAGCAGAATTCCTCTGGGAGATGGTAAGTGAGTGGGTGAGTAGGAGAAGGGTGGAAAAATTTTGATCAATAAGAAATTGTTCAAGTTTTTAACACTTGCTTTCTGAAAAGGACTTTGTTAACATTGCTTGCATATTTATTTTCCTTTTTTGTCTGGTTTTGTGGCTAACTTGGCAAAAAGCCTGCTCCTACACAAAGGACAGGCATGTTTCCAAGCATGTGCAAAGGCTGTCACCCTCCTCAGGCACTCACTGAACCCACTGTCCCGAGTCAGGAATGTAGTGAGGAGGGGTGGTGGCCAAAAAGGAATTTTCTCTGCTCTTTGCCATGAGAACCTGGTGGGACTCCTGGAGGTAAAACTCATGTAATTGTGGGCCCCCCTAAAATTGGATCCCGAGAATTTTTAAACTGTCAAGCTAGCCCACACCCAACCCTCAGCAATTTGTTGACGTTACCATTTAAGTGCTCAAATGGCCACTGCCTCCAACAGCTTCTGCTTCAGTAAGCTGATCTGTATTCTTGGTATTCACCTGTCTCTCCAGCTTTCTTTTTATTTTTTAATTTTTTTATTTTTTAGCTCCTACTTATAAGTGAGGACATATGGTCTTTCTCTTTCTGTGCCTGGCTTAATTTCACTTAACATAATTCTCTCTAAGTTCATGCATCCTGCTGCAAATGGCAGAATTTCATTCCTTTTCTTCCATAATGGTGGAACCATTTTACAGTCCCAACAGTGCAGGAGGGTTCCCATTTCTCTGCATCCTTGCCAGAATTTGTTATTCTTTGTCTTTTTGACAATAGCCTGTCTAACTGGGGTGAGATGACATCTCAGTGTGGTTTTGGTTTGCATTTTCCTGATGCCAAGTGACATTAGGCATTTTTTCATGTGTCTGTTGGCCATTTGTATATCTTCCTTTGAGAAATGCTTTTTCAGCTCCTTGGCCCATTTTGTTTTTTTACTGTTAAGTTGTTTGAGTTCTTTGTATATTATGGATGTTAATCCTCTGTTGGATGCATAATGTGCAAATATTTTCTCCTATGCTGCTGATTGTTTTTTCACTCTAGTAATTGTTTCTTTTGCTGTGCAGAGCTTTTTAGTTTGATATAATCCCAATAGTTTATTTTTCCTTTTGTTGCCTGTTCTCCTGGAATCATATTCATGAAGTCTTTGCCCAGGTCTACTTCCTGAAGTGTTTCCCCTATGCTTTCTTTTAGGAGTTTTATAGTTTCAGATCTTATATTTAAGTCTTTAATCCATTTTGAGTTGATTTTGGTATATGGCGAGAGGTATGGCTGTAGTTTCATGCTTCTACATATCGATATCCAGTTTTCCCGGCACCATTTATTGAAGAGGCAGCCTTTTCCTCAATGTGTGTCCTTGGTGCCTTTGTTGAAGATTGTAGTTTCATGCTTCTACATATCGATATCCAGTTTTCCCAGCACCATTTATTGAAGAGGCAGCCTTTTCCTCAATGTGTGTCCTTGGTGCCTTTGTTGAAGATCAGTTGGCTGTAATCATGTGTGCTGATTTTTGTGTGCTCTATTTTGTTCCATTGGCCTGAGTGTCTGTTTTTATGTCAGTACCATGCTGTTTTGTTTACTATAGCTGTGTAGTATAATTTGAAGTTGGGTAGTGCAATGCTTCTGACTTTATTAATTTTTTTTTTTTTTTGCTCAGGATTGCTTTGGCTATTTGGGGTCTCTTGTTGTTCTATATGAATTTTTGGATTGTTTTTTCTATTTCTGTGAAGAATGTCATTGGTATTTTGATGGGATTGCACTGAATCTGTAGA